ACCCGGGAGAACAGCTTAGTATCAGGCTGCTCCTCGCCCTGATGAAGTGGACTGCAAGGTTCACGAAACGTTGGCATTCCAAGAATGGATTGGAACACGGAGAAAACCCGCGAAACACAAGATTGTCATATAGGAAACACCCGTGAAAGCCTCAAGAATATTATACGTCTGGGTATTATACTCAATCATATTATATGGGGCGCCTGTCTGGGCGACAGACATAGAAAGAAATAGAGAGGTGCGAACCATTCTAAGGAACGCACAAAAAAGGATCGCAGGAAGAACAATCTGTGCGTATAAAACGGTGGCATACAAGGCGGTAACTATACTGGCCAGGTCCATCCCGATAGAGATATTGGCGGAAAAATACCGCAATCTATATCTCAGAAAGAAAGATCTCAGAAAAAGAGAGATGAAACTCTGGAGAAGAGAAGAGGAGATACTGAAAAACCAAGCTACCGACTATGCAATCGTTAAATGGAAGGAGAGGAGCCATAAAGAAGGAGGATTTGGAAGAAGAGTAAGAGAGGTGGTGCTACCACACTTTAAGGAATGGATCGCAAGAGGACACGGAAGAATGGACTTTCATACAACGCAGATGTTTACGGATCATGGATGCTTCGCGTACTATTTGGAGAAAATAAGAAAGGTAGAATCGACAAACTGCCCACACTGTTCTTGCAACGTAGATAATGCGCAACACACAGATATGTCCCGCGTGGAGTAACAAAAAGAGGGAACTAACCAGCATAATAGGACAGGAATTAACAGTAAAGGACATAGTAAGGAAAATAGTAGGCAGCAGTGAATGCTGGGAGGCGTTTTCGAATTTTTGTAAAACGGTAATGAAGCAAAAGGAGGAAGCGGAGAGACCCCAGCAGGCGGCGGACCGGGCGAACCTTCCTCCACCTCGCAATGACGGAACTTGACGGCAAATAATTCCCCATCAACAGAACAGAGACAACCGCGAGATAGATTGATCAATAGATCAATAAAACAACTAACTAACAACTAACTAAACCGCGAGCGATAGAGAGAGATACGAACTGTACCACAGCAGCCCGACAAACAAAAGAGAGCCCATGATGGGTTTCAATTAGAGGCACCGCGCCAGCGAAGATGGCTAAAAGCCAATAGGACCTATAGGTGCCTGAAGAAATACTTCGGTGGTACCGGGCACCCGACAAGTAGGTTAAGGGGAGATGCGCAGGACAGGGAGTTTTTTAGTTGGTAGGCGGACCTGGCAGGAGTGTAGGCAAATAATGGCACTGGTTCCGGCGAGTAAGCACATGGTGGAGCGAAAAATAGCCTGTCCACCCTTCCAAGGGAGGGATAGGAAATGGACCCAGACAGTAGCCCTTGGCAGAAAGGCGGACTTAGTCTGAGCCTCTCCTGCCAGAAGAGGTCTGAATCCAACACACCCATCGTGCGCGGTAATGGGTGTCTTCCTCCAGATGGGTTCAAACTCCAAGGGAGAATTACCTATCTGAGAGGTATAAGAAGACTTTTCTCCCCCTACGCAAACAAAAAAAAAGTTAGTAATCCCGCAGGGAGGGTTTCCCTAAGCGCCCAGAAGCACTCCTAGGGGTGTAGAGGGGCGTTTGGGGTTGTACCCTTTCGGGTTTGACGAACCCGCGGACCCGAGTCGCCTTAGACAGCGCCTCCGCACTGGCGCGGATCGC